GATACAACACATCAAAGTCCGTACTTCTGAAAGTTACAGTACGTTTTTGCAGTACATCAAGCTCTTTTATCCCAAAAGATAAAGGAAAAATGTGATTCCTCATGACAAGACCCCTTCAACCTCCCCTCCATCTACTCACTGGTACTTCTGCTGCTGCTGCTTCTCTCTTTCCAGCCTCTCCTGCTCCCTCTTCTCCTTCTCTCGTTCCTTCCGGTCAGGATGAAAGGATGAGCCGTCAACGTAGTCAGAGCTGATACCGAACGCTTCTCTCAGACGGTCATTTTTTTGCTGGTTAGCAGCTGCCAGTGCATGAGTCTCAGTCACACTGTGAGAAAGAGCAAAACATGGATGGGAATAAAACTACTAACAGTGCACAGAAAAGGCCATTAAAAAGCCTTCATTTCTGTCTGGATGATCTGAAGTAATACTCACACTGGCCTCTCTGTTGGAGGAGGGGCAGGTTCTTGTCTTTCTTGCAGCATCAAACGGAAGGTGTTGACTTTCTCTTCGATCTCCTCTGCAGAGTACCTGTCACACAGGATGACTTGGTCAGAGGCTGTTCTCAATATCTACTCCTGAAGAATATTCACCATAACACAAACCCAAGCAAGCCGTAGAGCACAGGAAAAATCATAGTGCATACTTGAAATACACTACAGTTCAAAAGTTTGGGGTCAGGAGGAGTTTTTCAAGTTTTTGAAAGAAGTCTCTTATGCTGCCAAGGCTGCATTTATTGATCAAACATACAGTAAAATAAATGTCATTTATTTTAAAACATATTCCTGTGATGACAAAGCTGAATGTTCAGCAGCCATTACTACAGTATTTAGTTACAGAAATCATTTTAATATGTTGATTTGATACTCAAGAAACATTTGTAATTATTATCAATGTTTAAAACAGCTGCTTAATATTTGTGGAAACTGTGATTTCCACATTCTTTACTGGACTCTTTGATGAACAAAGTTCAAACAGCTTTTATTTAAAATAGATATTTTGTATAATATTATAAACATTTTTAATGTCACTTTTGATCAAATTAAAGTGTCACAGTTGAATAAAAAGTATTAAATTATTTTTAAAAATCCTAACAAAATTCATACAGTGCGCACCTAGCTTAATTCATTTTAAATGCAAACCAAAAATACAGGGGATTTTTCCTATTTTATTTCATCTTACCCCTGCTCCTCCATCATGTCCTGCAGCTCAGCACATTTCACCTCCAGCTGTCTCTTCCTCTGGTGCTCTAGGATATCAGCGTTAGGTTGTCTGTTCAGCTGGCTCTCCAGTCTCTCTCGGTCTTTCTCATCCCGCTCTCCTCCGCGCTCGTCCCTGTTCCTCTTCACGCGTACGCTGGACAGGTTCCTCTGAACGTAGCCATTCGTGCCACTGCCTCGCGGCGTGGTCAAACCGATACCGTTATACATCTCTGCTCTGAGAGGCCAGACACAGCATGAGAACTCATGAGTAAACTAAGCACTGAACTGAACAACTTTGCATATCACATTCACAACACCTTAAGTGGCCTGGCTGGGATAAAAGCATTTGATACATACATAATGTGAATAAATGAGTGCTGCTGGGAGACCTTATGACACCTTCTGCATTTGTGGTGAATGGTGAGCTTTGACCATGAAAATAAAAAGCATTACGATTTTGTTCCTTTTTGAATTTTTTTTTAGGAGTACACTAAAAGATGTAAACAGTTAATAGAGGAAGCTAAATGGAACTAAAACTACAAAAGTATTAGTTTCTGTTCACCAACTCATCGCAATGTAACAAAAACAGATTTAACAGAAATGACAACTTATGTGCTGACTTTATATTTTTTTAACCTTGCAAAAATGCCAATCTTGAGTGGATTTATCTTTATTTAGAGACCCTAGCAGAACAGCAAGTTTGTATAAAACAATACCTAACATTCACTGAATAGGGGTAAAAACTATAAAGAACTTGTTAAGGTCACACAAAATTGTGTCAGGCAACTAACACAATTTTTAATAGAACAAATGTATCAAATTTAAATGTTATTTCTATGTGCGGGATGGTGACTGGAAAATGCTTACAATGCCCTGAAATTTTGAACAAAAATTTGAGGCCTTTTTTGAAGCTTAGCAAAAATGCAATTGCGGGCCTTTTTTTTCTTCTTCCTTTTTTTATTTGTTCACACAAAAGGGAACCTATTCAATTAATCAAAATGTAATTACTTTAATTCAATTAACATTTCACAGCTATTTTCTGAAGTATGATATAAATGATACATAATATTTAAAATATGCTTGATTATTTTAATTATCAAATAGCGACATTTCTTTTCATAATTGTACTGTGGTTGTATTGTGGTGACTTGTACTTAATGTCTCAAAAATAGCGGTGAATTTATGCAACCCCAAAATGCCCAGAATTGCACTTTTACAATGTTTTTCCAAATTACACCATGATGCAAATTTTGCCTAAACGAATGGCTTTCTAAAGACATGTACATTAAGTACATCTTTTAATGTGCTGAATCACTAACAACATTTGTCTAGAAACAGAAAGATTCAGCACTTTCTCAGACATGACTGGAAAGAAAAAAAATTACCACACGAGTAAAGCAGTATGGTTCTAAAGCAGTCTAGGGCTGTTTAATAATTACAGAGACCGTGTTGTACACAACTGATCGAACATATGTTAAAAATTTACCATTAAAGACGTGGTAAACGCTCCAAACATCCCATACTATGTCTAACATGCTGTCTGGGTAGACTGTTCACATACTTTAATACACAGATACTGTATCGCGCCCACAAGTCTTAAACCAGCAACAGGCCGCGGCCTTCTGTGCTGCTAATGCTTCCTCCACACAACAACCCGCTGATTCTCTTTCATTTTTAGTGTTTATGTAATAACTCACTAAATACCCTCAGTGTTTACTGGTATAACAGCACTTGAGTTGTTTCAGCGCGCTAACTTTGTCCTGTGTGCTAGCAGGATCCCTCCACAGTACAGCATGCTAACTGCTCGTTGAGCTTCAGTAACGTGAGTGCTACGTACCTCTGTGAACCCGCTCAGGGAGAGAACAAAAGTAGAACCGTTACAGGCCAAAGACCGAGCAACTGTGGCACAACAAGCGTAAACCCAGCGATTCTATATCAAATAACCCTTGTAAAATAAAAACGATGTACGCAACGTTGGCTAGAATGAACAGGTAACGCTCATTTGGACGTCATCGTAACGACCTCGCGATAATGTTCGGGGATTGACTGTGGACTACATTTCCCACAATTCCATTCACTCGCTTCATCCATCGACGCAAGCGTGTTAGTGCTTCAAAGTTAGATTTTTTAAAAGTCTCTTATGCTGCAAGGCCAAATTTATCTGATCAAAGATATAGTAAAAACAGCAATTCTGTAAAATATTACAGCAATTTAAAACAACCTTTTCCTTCTTTTTTTTTTTTTAGTAAAAATATATTTATTCCTGTGATGGCAAAGCTGAATTTTGAGCATTAACTCTTCAGTGTCACTTTTTCTGTCTTTCTTCCCTGTTCTTTATAAATCATTATAAATCAGAGCTCAAGAAACATGTCTTATCATCAGTGTTAAAAACGGTTGTTTTGTTTAAAGTGCCCCTATTATGGTTTATGAAAGGTTCATCTTTTGGTTTTGGGAGTCCCCAACAACAGGTTGACATGCATGCAAGGTCCAAAAACACTTTCATTGTCTTATAATATGCATTTATTTTTACCTTATTTGCTCAACGACTCACAAACGATTCGCTCAAAGATTCATTTTCCCAAACCCCTCCTTTGTCTGACACTAATCTGCGGTGATTGGTCCGATTGGTCTCATTTTCATTTCATCATGAGCCTGTAATGCCTGATAAAGCGCAGTGCTGCTTTGTGTACAGCTGTTACCAGGGAAACCGCTATCTTTACCGCTCCAAAAGCGGCACCTAGTGGCAAAGAATGAATTTGCATTTTCATTCAGACCAACACGAAAAGACCAACAAGTGGGCGGGCAATATGCAAATGTTTCATGTTGACGTCAACATGAAACGGCTTGGGATTCGTTTTAAAAACGACTCGTTTAAATGATTCAGAGTCGACTCTTTCTTTTGAGAGACAATAACATTATATACACGTTGCACTTTCAGATTTAAAACTTTGCAGGATGTTTTCATTCACTTAGAGCTGTGGTACACACTGCATGAAGGTAATTTTCAAACATCCATAATGGGGCACTTTAATATTTTTTGTGAAAGCTGTGATACATTTTTTCCAACATTGATGAATAAGACAGCTTTTAAGTGAAATAAAAATCTGTTGTACCATTATAAATGCCATAACTGGAACTTTTGATCAATTTATTGCATCCCTGTGCTGAATAAAAGTATGATAAAAATAAGACAAGGAAGTGCATTTATTTTATGATCTCCAAAAAATATTAGTGGGCTACTATTGTGGAAAAAAATCCTACAGTGTGCATCTGACTGAATTCATTTTAGATGTAAACTTGTCAAAAATAAATAACAAACAGAGAATAAGCCTCACGTGTTTTATTTTACTACATTATTTCATAAAATCTAATACAGAAAGAATAATTACATGAAATCTTTATTTGAAATGATAGTTTGTTTCAGAAGCAAATCCAATACTGATTAAAATATTGTTTTTTAGCTTTTAGTCCCCTGTGTGTTAGCTTTGAGACTACCTACTAGTGTACTTATAAACTGCTTATTTATAGTGTGTACAATAATGTATGCCATATAGTTTGTAGAAAGGAGGATGTCACAAATTTTAAGACGCCTAAATACACAGTATTCAAGAAACAGACAAACAGTCTCTATATTACACATCTGCTGAGATCCTAAAGTGTGCAATCAGTGGACACGTTCCTATCCAGACGATGGCGGAAATTTGTTCCTAAGTAAAAATCAAGTCGATTTTCACTAACTTCACAGGCAATATCACAACATTGAAAAACAACACAGTAAATACTATACAAATAATATGAATATTATCGGTAAAATATAAGACCCAAAATCCAAACTATGATAATTGAATATATAACAGATGACAAAGCACATATTATAACTGCTGCACTCTGGACACAAGTACAATCTTGGTCTCCTCTGGGAATCTCAGGAGTGTGAGTTGAAATGTGACCATCACATTTCATCCAGTCAGTCGCAATAGACTTTGGGGAAGCAGATTCCTGGTCCAGGCCTCCTCTTTTTAAAATCCAGTAGTTTGAGTCTTTAAAGAAGTAAGTGTCTCCTGAGGTCAATCGCAAATAAAATGGTTTGAGTTTGGTTTGAGAGAAAATGAAAATGAATATATTTAAATAAAAAAAGAAACATCTTACCATCTAGAAATCCAATGATATCATCAGGGTGAGAGGGCATCCCCCAGATGGATGCTGGTTTAGGGTACCCTTCCTCCAGCTTCCTCTCTGTTCCCACTTCATCAAACCTCCAGTACTCTCCATCACTGAACAGGTATGTCTTCCCATTGTGTGGCCACACAAATACTGCCTCCACCCTCTCTGGAAGTCCTCCTGCAGAAGTGCATAATCCCCATTCTGAAAGTGGTTGCGGGTACCCAGGGAGGGACACTGTGTCTCTAAATACCCAGTACTGATTACCTGAGAAAGACCATAATGAAAAAGAGTAAACATGAAGCACGAATATGCTCCTTTGTACCACAGCCATAAAAATCTATTTATCAGTCACTATGACATTTCTATAAACACATTCTATTCTTACCATGCTTTTTACTTCAGTCAATAGCTCTTTATATATTGTAAAAAAAAATTAAATGTGAGGTCTCTTTTTTTTCTTTCTTACCAATGAAGAATACAATATGTCCATCTCTTCTCTCATATACTGCATCAACTCTGGATGTTTCTGGAGGCAAACCGATCCAGAAGCTGTGGATCAGAGCTGCAGTCAATGACATTAATGAGCCTGAATGATGTACTCTCCAAAAGTGTGGACCTGATAAAGAGCAAATGGTTGAAGAAGAGAATAAGAAACAATATATTTTCTTTCACTTTTCTATTTTTATAGTAACTTTCTACTAATAATTTTCAGGATGTGTTGTGTGAGGATTCCATAAAGAGGAAAAATTCTGGAAAAAAAAAATGTATCACCAGCTTCCACAAAAATATTAAGCAGCAACTGTTTTCATCATTGATAATAATAGGAAATATTTCTCGATCATGTGATACTGAAGACTAGAGTAATGACTGCTGAAAATTCAGCTTTGTCATCAAATGAATGCATTTTTTAAATATATTAAAATAGAAAACAATTACTTCAGGTTATGTTTTTTACTGTATTCACTCTAACAAATAAATGCAGCCGTAATGAGCATAAGAGACTTCTTTAAAAAACTTTTGATTGATAGTGTAAATCAAACATCATACCTCTAAAGAAGAAAACCTCTCCTCTGATATTAGCGACTGCATCATAACCTCCCTGACAGCGATCAACAGAGGCTGCTGGGCTGAAAATGAAAACAGCATTAGGAAAAATATAACACTCATTGTGAAACCTGTTATGATTACAGTGTTACTCACTGATCGGGAGGATGTGAAGGAGCTGGTGTCGAGAAGTGGGGCAGATGAGTTGTGGGTGCAACAACAGATGGAGAAGGTTTAAAAGTTTGTCTCTTTCCTGTATGGTAAACAGTCATGAGAAATTAGGCATCCATCTATCTATCTATCTATCTATCTATCTATCTATCTATCGATAGATCGATAGATAGATAGGCTATATGTCTTTTACATATTAGGGTGTACCATAAAGCGCCTGTATTCTCAGTCTGTCATCAAGGGATAAAGAGTAACTGCGCATGTCTCCCACAGGACCATGGTAATAAGGCTTCATGATGGAGTCATTGGAGGATGAGTGAAACAGGCCTAAAGCATGACCAAACTCATGAACTGCAACTGTGAATAAATCTGTGGAGCTGCTCCAATCTGGGGAATTGCAGAAACATAAAACATTTAAGCACTTCTGACCAATCTCCTGTTCTTTTATCAATGAATATCTCTGTAGATAATGATGTCAGATACACAAAGATGTATACAGCATTTAATTTACCTCCATAGCTCCAGCTCTCTCCGTCATCAAAGTGTGTGTCACCAGCAAGATCTCCCTTTCCTGGGAAGAATGCATGTGCCAGAGTGCCCCCTTTGCCATCGAAAGGATATCCATCTTCATGGTAGCCGCTGGCAAAGGTGACTTTGATGTCTATCTGTGGTGATGGGTCGTATGGAGAAGGGTGGAAACGCAGAGGTGTGACATCACTCCATACTCGGAGGGCAGAGGTCAAAATGAGCCTCACCAGCCCGGGATGTAGAGTGGGAGACATAGAGGGAGAGGGAAACTCCTGCACGCTGAGGAAAAGAAAGGAAAGATGGGGGATTATTGGACATGAATATTCTGGATAAGGTTACATAAATGAAGGCTTCACTGTAGGAATATATATATATATATATTCTGTAAAATTTTTGTTAAAAAAACAACAGCTATGGTTACCAAAAATTCACCAAATAAAGGTGATACAATACAAAGCCACATGATGAATCAGAGTTTATCGTAAGTGGTCAGTATACTCGCGTATACAGACAAAACACCATCATTAACACAAATTACACTAAAATAATGCAATAAATATTAACTATTCAACATAAAATGTATCACAAAACACTCTCCGATGTACAGAAATCTGTAAAATTTTTGTTAAAAAAACAACAGCTATGGTTACCAAAAATTCACCATATAAAGGTGATACAATACAAAGCCACATGATGAATCAGAGTTTATAGTAAGTGGTCAGTATACTCGCGTATACAGACAAAACACCATCATTAACACAAATTACACTAAAATAATGCAATAAATATTAACTATTCAACATAAAATGTATCACAAAACACTCTCCGATGTACAGAAATGAGCAGTAAAATTATTTCTGTAAAATATATCATATATCTCATGAGGGACTTGTGGGAATGTCCTTTTACTGTAACTTTCACTACAAATGATATTGTAATTAATCATTTTTACTTGCAAAAACCATAAATCAACTACAGTTTTCACTGTATATGGTAAGACAACTTAGTTAACTGATTATCAGGTTTTTAATGTTTTTATTTTTATGTATAGAATATATTGCTGGAAACATAAAGATCACACCTCCAGGTGATGTCGGTCTTGTCCCAGCTCAACCTTGGCAGAGTATATCTCCTCTTCAGCTTCTCTTTACCTCTCCTCTTTCCTTTCAGCAGATCCTCAGAGCTGACGGTGTCCGGGAGAGAGCAGCGAGGTCTGGCCATCAGTTCTAAAGTAGCATGATCTAAAGTTTGACAAAAGGACAAGTGGAATCACCAGAGCTATAGTGACAGAAAGCTTATGGTACATAGTGCTCTCTATGGGTGTTCATCCATCTTGTTGAACCTATAAAGCATTACAGTACAAATAAGTGAAGAAAAAAAACTGCCACCTAGCTTGCCAGTCTCTTTAATTCCAGCAAAACGCTGCATTTTACAGACAGCTTCTTCAATACCCTCCCTGGTGTGAAGTCGACCAATTAAAGTGTCTGGAGATGGTAAATACCCATACCGAATCAACCAGTCCTACACACACAAACAAAAACTCACACACATTGTTTGATTAATATATAAAAAATACATGTTCTGAAAGCACTGAAGCACACAAACTTGAAATTTACAAAGACTGTAGAGAGATGCATAATCTAATATATTTATTTGTAAAATCTACAGTTTATGTTTCATATTTGTTATGATAGCTTGTGTATTATTTACAGTTACTTTTGTATTTGATGATGATTAGATTATATCATCCAAAATTGATCAGATAGGTAATTTATTTCATTTGTTTTTTCATTGATTTCTTTGAAACAACTTTTAATGTTGAAATTTTATGAACATGATCACGAGCGTAAAATTTGAACTTGAAAATTAATTTCAGGCGACAAATAGGCCTATTGCCCCTTCCAAACGTTTCTGACACTTATCTGATCAACACTGCATTCGGTTTACATTAAAATACATTATACATTAAAATACTGTATTACATTAAAATATTTTATTGCATGTTCATTTTCACACAGAGTATTTTCTTACCACTCCTCGCGCGTATTGATCTGGCATCAGCGCAGGTCTCGCGCTCACAACACTGAGAAGCGTGGCGCCGATCATTGTGAGAACTGCGGTCATGGTCATTCAGTGTGATATCCACGCACTGTTCACACCCTCAAAACTACCACAGTAAGTGTGTAAACCAGCAAAACTATTAATAGCGAATCACGAATATATCCTAGAGCACAATTCAAACAGCTGGATTTTGTTAACATTAGGGCATCTACAAAAAAAAAAAAAAAAGATGCTGAAGTATAGTGCATGTATTCTTCATCCACGCAGTCACGCTTTGACTGCCGCTTCAGATTGCTTCCCAAGAGGCTGGGAGTTGTTTTGATCAATACTGTCCTGCACCCCTCTCTCTCTCCCTCTCTTCCCCTCAGTAGGAGCATCCTCTAAATGTGTGACCTCATGAATGCGCGTGTGACCCCTGATCATGGCTGCTGTGTATGAATAACCATATGGCACTTACATGTCCATGAAGTGTAAACCTATATCACAGTTCAATTGTTTTAAAAGAAATTAATAGTAATTAATGAGACGTTTATAATGTTACAAAAGATGATAATATAATAATATGAAAAAAAAAATTCCACAAAAATTAAGCAGCACAACTGTTTTCAAAATTAATAACAATATCAAATGTTTCTTGAGCAGCGAATCAGCATATTAGAATGATTTCTGAAGGACCATGTGACATGTGATTAGAGTAACTGTTGAAAATTCAGCTTTGCCACTTTGCCATCACAGAAATAAATTATATTTTAATATATATAAAGTAGTATAAAAACAGTATAATTTCCCATTTCTATAATTATGTTGGAGGCGTTAAGACCCCCTGATAAGAGGAAAGGGTACTATGCATTGTGTTCTGATAAAAATAGGCAGGATGTTATGAGCTTCGGCGCGAGTGAATGAATAAAGGGAAACATTAATTACAATAAATAAATAAACCATGCATGTTATGGATCCTCAAGATGTTTGTTCTCTTAAAGGTGACATATTATGGCCCTTTTTACAATATGTAATATAAGTATCTGGTGTCCCCAGAATGTGTCTGTGAAGTTTCAGCTCAAAATACTCCACAGATAATTTATCCTTGGTTGGTAGATGCACCAGGGACCTGATTATAGCACTTAAAACCTGGAAAAGTCAGATTTTCATGATATGTCACCTTTAATCATCATCAGGGCTTCCCTTTACCCCATCTATACTGACTGAGTTGACAAAACATCAAATCACCAGCATGTTTTCTGATAAAGGTTTTTTTATTAGTGTGCAAGCAACACAGCATCTCTCCAGCACAAACATCGGTAAAGTAACAAAGAAATGCCTTTTCCTATAGTTTATGGTTTATGAAACCAAATATACAGCACTACTCTGTATATTATGTTACCAGTCTTCTGCTGCCATACTGTGATTGATGTTTAGGTTTGGTTCTCACTGAGCTCTAGCGCCGGTCTGAAGGAGTACTCTGCCTTATGATGCATGATTAGTGTGTTATTGGCGAAGTAGAAGCTGTCTGACCGTGTCTCAAAAGGGTGGTTGATCATCTCCTTAACTGAAATAACACAACATAGTCAATTTTACTCTTACACAAGCCCCATATGTTCACGTGGATATTTTGCATGCAGTTGTAAAATGTGTGAAATGCATTGTAAGTTTGTGTGTGTTACTCACATGTGTGTGAATCCAGATCTGGTAAGCAGTAAATGTGTTCACAGGTGTTTCTGCTGTGTGGGATACAGAAACCGATCTCAAAGTCAAACGTCTTCAGCAGCAGATCCCTGAAGTAATGCCTCTCAATCAGCCGAAACTTGTTGACTGCCTTACCACCCACTGTAAACTCAAGCCTGTTCAGAAGAGAGATTACACATTATGCAAATACTGATTTGGATTAAAAATTTCAATCTATTCTAAAGGCTCCAAAGCAAAAAAAAAACATACATGGCTCCAATCTCCTTGAGACTGAGAAATGCAGGACTGAAATGATACTGAATGAAACGGCCTGCATCCAGCTCTATGACATCCTTTATTTCTGTGAGAGAAAGAAGAGGAATTTATACCATATTTAGGATTTAACTGAAAATGCGACATTTTAAATGAAAATGAGAAATACTGCATCTGAAATGAAAAATGTATTAAAGCAAAACTGTAATAATAAAAATGACAAAAGCACATTAAAACACTAAAACTTAACCTAAAATGAAAATAAACTGCAAATGTAAAAATAAATGCTAATTCAAAATATTAATAAATACTATCATAGTAAAAAAATACAATGCTTTGACATTGTATTATTTGACAAAAACATGGCAAAAATCACATTATGAAATCACTAAATAACCTGAAAATATAAAAATAAATGGTAATTCAAAGTGTAAATAAATACTATAATTGTACATAAATATACGATGCATTGATACATTGTATTATTTGACAAAATCATGACAAAAGCAAAAAACAAAATCAATAAAACAAACTTAAGCATGTAACAAAATCAATAAAACAAACTTGAATGAAAACAAACTGAAAATATAAAAATAAATGCTAAATCAAAATATTAATAAATACTATAATAGTATATAAATAAAATAATACTAACATAACACTGATTTAGGAAAGAGAGAAAAAAAGAGAGAGTAATGCTGAAATACAAGACATTTTTCAAGTGCTTCTGCACATAATGTCCACTAGAGGTCAAATGACATGTTTGGCTCCTCATTAGCATAAACACTTTTCTATCTTAAACACAATCTGAAATATCACACAGCCAAGTTATGTGTCTCTTACAAAATCACCCATGTGAAACAGAAAATAAGTGTTAAAAAGGCATTAACATACCTGTCGGACAGTGTCGTTTCAGGTCCAGAATGACCGATCCATCTTCCAGGTCTCTTATTTTGAATCGTGAGAAGCTAATATTGTAGATATTGTCTTCTGGGGAGCACAGGTAGTCTGTACACATAACCAATAACAGTAAAGAAAAGAAAGTATTGCAGTAAAAGAACAAAAGCACACAAATAAACTGGTGTCCTCACCGTCTGTGTATCCTGGTAGCCTGAGGACATACTGAGGAGTCACAAGGTCACCTGGCTTCCAGTCCAGCAGCGCCTCCTCTTCAGCTGCAAGTCCTGCTCCCGAAATAAACCCATTCCAGACCTCCATGTCCCTCAGATCCCCTCTGTCCTGCATTTCCTCCTCATCCTCGTCTTCCTCCTCTGGTTCGCTGTCCTCGTCTTTCTCAGAGGACATTTCTTGCTCTATGTCTTCCTCACTCTGTAGCTCTTTGACACCCTCACTGTCCATCTAAAGGCTTAGTCCAAAGAGATCTGGTTTTCCACTAATGTTTCTCTCAGGTTAACTAATACAGGAGCATCTGTTGCCTGGCACGCTCTGTGATTACCCTCAGCTCTTCTCTCATAAACTCTGTCTCAGTGACTCAAACAGATTAAGGCTTTCTCAAACAGCTAATCCAAGACAATCCTCAATTAAACACGGACACAGCAAGTATGGCATCAATGAAAGGACAAAAAGGAATCTGAGATAAACAGACAATATAGGACGGAGTTATATAGCAGAATTAGGATATGGAGAATAGCGAGTGGAAATGGAGAATGAGATCTGCCGGACTGAAATGAATAAATATAGATGACAGAAAGAAGTGTGATAAAAATGAGAAGTTGTAAATAAAGTCACAGCTACCTATCCATATATCAGCAGGCAAAAAAAAAGCAAATAATGAAATGCAAGTTCAATTATACAATTTTGAAAGAAAGTAATACTTTTTTAAGCAAGGATGCAAATTAATAAAACACAATAGTAAACACATAACAAAAGTTTTAAATTTCAAATAAAATATATTCTTTTGAACTCTCTGTTCATCAAAGAATCCTGAAAATGTGAAGCAGTGCAGTTGTTTTCAAAAATGTTAATAAATGTTTCTTACGCACCAAATCGTCATATTAGAATGATTTATGAAAGATCATGTGACAGACTGGAGTAATGACTGCTGAAAAGTTAGGAATAAAATGCATTTAAAGAAATACTGAAATATTTAAAAATATAAAATATTTTTAATTTAATATTATATTATACAAAAAGTTATTTTAAATTGTAATAATATTTGACAATTCTACTGTTTTACTGTATTATTGTTTAAATAAATGCAGCCTTGCGGAAAATAAGAAAATTCTTTAAAAAAAATCTTACTGATCCTAAATTTTTGAATGATAGTGTATGTCTGTATGTCAAAGGCTGTATATCTAATCCAAATCTACAACATTTTGGAAAAATGTAATCAGTCACTTTGTATAGGCTAGTCAAAATTGGCAGATGTCATCATGGGGAGGTTGAATAACATGTCCTTGTATTTAAAAAAAACATGAACAAAACTACACAAAGTCAAACATAAAATACAGATTCACTTGCAATAAGGATAAACATGTATATATAAGGTATATATAAACTCAGCAAAAAAGAAATGTCCCTTTTATGTATATTGTAAAGATACATAGCCTACTGTTAAAGATAATTTTGTAAAGCCTTTACAGATCTTTATTGTAAAAGGTTTAAACAATATTTTTCATATTTGTTCAATTAACAATTATTGCACCCCCCCCCAACTCCTTCAGGGACTCATTACTCCATTTCTGTTTGTCAAACGCCTGTTAAACTTGTTCAGTTTATGTCTCAGTTGTTTAACTTCTTATGTTAAAATAAATATTTACACGTTAAGAAAGTTGCTGGAAATAGTTTATATATGTACATACAAACGTGTAGTTTATATACACATACATACACACAAAGATGTAGTGACATTTTTGTCACCTTGTCAACGCATCTTTCTGGTAAGTTTGGTGTCCTCATAAGTGATGTGCAATTGATCAATCTGAATGTAATATGAGTCAACAGGATGTGTTCACATCTCTGTTCTGTGTTTTTTTTCCACAGCAGCATTGATGGAGGGAAGAGGAGGAGTCACTGAACCACATCCTGCTTTACTCCAACCTTTCACCTCATCCCACTGTTGGCATGGTGATCAAACTGTCATTTCCTCCTGTCATTTGAAAGCTTCATCTAGGGGAGAGAAGTATCCCAGAAGGCACCACAGCACAAGCGAAGAAATCACGGTGCAGCAGGAAGAGACGGCGTGATGAATTCTGAACATCAGGTAGAGTTTATTTGTTTCTATCAATTGCGTAAAACTAAATGTTAAGTTATACAGACGAAGCTTATGTAAGAGTTCTCGTTTATTCTTAGCACATTCAAGCATATTGTGAAGTTTATGCCATTTTGTGATGTGTTGCGTTCATTGCAGGCCTGGAGTGTTTGTCAGATTTAAATGAAATTAAAAGAACTGTTATTTAGCAGAAATTAGACATTCACAAGGCAAATAGCAACATTTCAAATGTTATAGAGTTGACTTGTGATTTAGTGTTTATGTATGTGTATGTATGTAAGTATGTGTGTGTGTATATATATATATATATAAACACACACACACACACACACGTGCTACCGTTCAGTAGTTTGGAGTCAGTAAGCTTTCTTTAAATATATATATATAAATAAAGTAATACTTTTATCAATAAATATGTATCACAAGTGACAGAGCAGACATTTATCATGTTACAAAAGATTATATATGTGTGTGTGTGTGTGTACTCGTTTATGCTACATTGTGGAGACCAAATGTCCCCACAGGGATAGTAAAACCTGACATTTTTGACATTGTGGGGACCGGCCTGTGGTCGAGGAAAAAAAAGGAGGAAAAAAAAACATTAAAAGTAGTAAATGATGTTTATCTGAAAGAGTAACAATGCAAACAGGTTTTCTGTAAGGGGTAGGTTTAGGGTTAGGGGATAGAAAATATTGTTTGGTCAGTATAAAAGTAATAGAAGTCTATGGAAAGTCCCCACAATTCACAGAAACAAACGTGTGTGTGTGTGTGTGTATAAAATGTATATAAGTATGTATAAAAAAGTAAATAAAAAAAAAATATATATAAATATAATTTTAATTAACACCAATCTCTATATACACTAATATACTAACATTTCAATTAACACAATTTAATGTATTGTGAACAAATATGAATTAAAAATGAATGCTAACTACAAAAATGTAAAAATGTTCATTGTAAGTTCATGAGGACAGGTACTTAATGCATTGATGAACTGAACTTTGTTTTTGCGTGTTTTCATTTGTTTTCCTGTCTTGTTGTCACATTGTCTGTACTCATGTCGTCTCTTGCTCTTTTACAGAAGTCACAATGGAGATGACTCTATTGTCCATCACAGTGTGGTTCACTCAGTTCCTCATCATCTCAGCTCTTTATTTCAACACACCGCCAACAAACACCCCAAGTGACTACACTGAAACCACACAAATAACTTCAGCAACAACAAAAACAAACCCAGAAATAAAGATTCTTATATACGCAACATCTTCGTCACCTCTGACCGCATCAACAACGCAGAAAAGCATAACAAATTTGCCCAGTGAAGTGCATACACAGACAAATATAACCCCAAATGTGACACCCACACCAGAAACAGCATCCCTGCATCAACTGAACAGCAGTACTCCTTCTCAAAATATCATGATGGATGATGGCCAGAGCGTAAGCAGTGCTAGTAATGTGGCTATGAGCGATGCGAATAATAGTCATACAACAGTTTCCACTAACTTTGCGGGACTAACGCCACAAAAGGATGACAGTAATGAAACAGGTACAACGTCAAGTGTGAGTTACAACTCTGACGGGCGCACCGTTCAGACTGCAGACACTTTATCAGACCCAGTCGACAGTGTCTCAACAGTTCCTTGGAGATATTCCACAGAGAAAGAGGATGAGAGAACGAAAGCCGATGAAGGAAATTACGAAACAAACTCCACCCAGGCCACATTTGCTAATATGAAAGAGGAGTCGAGAGGAACACGAGGCACTGAGGGAAGTTCCACGTTCTCAAGTGAACACAGAGAGGAACATTACGACACAGCAGCAAATACGATCAATGTCAGTGATACAACAGCAACAGTGAGTAACAAATGGTCAACTTCACAAAGCACAGATATTCCCATGAACACACCGTCTTACACAACAACACAGGGTTACCCCACGGTTACAGATGCACCTGAATATCACACCTCAACAGGTGGCGTAAATCACTCTACGACACCGGAGAATATATACAGGTTCACAAACTCCACAGCAACCACAGGAGAAGAAAACAGGACAGGAACAGACACACCCGGTGGTACCACCGCCAACATCAACATCTCTATCATAACTGACAACAGCCTAAATGCCACAAACAACAGATCAAACAACAATGACACAGAAAACAAAGTGAGGCCTTCATGTCTGAACCCAAAACCAGGAAATCATTCTCGGCCATCCAAGCTGGTCTGTTTCCTCACATTGTGGACTTTAGCAATGACCGCCACCATATTTCTAGGAATAACTATTTTCCTTTGGGTGCGTCTGTCGGTCTCCAAAAAAAAGATGAAGCGGAGAGTAAAAGGAGGTCAGACGTGTGAGAAGGAGAGCCTCTGGGCCGAGCCCAAAGCTTCGGTGCAGGACAGAGTGGAGTTCTGGTACGTCAATGGATCCACGCTGGAGGCCGACAGGAAGGAGAAGGACAGGAGGAGGACGAAGAGAAGAGGACGGGAACAGGATAATGAGGAGAACAGCCTGTGGATTCAGCCTAGAGTGACTGTGGAAGACATAACAGAGTTCTGGTACGCAAACAGACACATGAAGGAGGAGAGGACAGAGGACACGTAGTTACAAACTTTGAAAGGCTCCAAAGGAAACTATTTGGACTATTATACCTTCAGGCGTATGCCTAAAACACAAGGGGATTTTGATGGAGCCTTTATTTGAGTTACTAAAAAAGTCTGAATAAGAAGTCTGAATGTTGTGTTTGTGATCCTACATGCACCTTTAATTGTCAGAAGGATTTGTGTTCAGCTGTGCACAAAAAAAAAAAAAATAAAATAAAAAAGACCAACTCTAGGTTGGTTGAACTATTGCATATAGACAAAGCTGACATTAAATAATGAATTAAACAGAAAGAGCCTATGCTGCCATCACATGCTAATCGTAAATATGAGTGTCCCAAGCAGAAACTGGACATAAATGGCCTTTTAAAAGTCATATATTTAGATAATTGTGATTAGGGTTGCAAAGGGGCGGAAAACTTTCTATGGGAACTTCGTCTGGGGAATTTTGGAAATATTCCAAGTTTGAAACTTACCGGGAATTTATGGGAATTAATTGGAAATTTGGGGAAATTTATAAAACTATCATATACAAACATAAATATAAACATTTTGTTTGATCATAGGCTCACATGCATGCAAACTAAAAAAATAAAAAATAGTAATGTGTGCAAACTTTTGACCAGTACTGTACTTCTGTATAATAACAGAAAGCTGGCTAGCAGAAAGAGCATCACAGCTTGAGCTAGTTTATACCTCATAAATTGTCA